ATCTGGAAAACGGAAATTAAAAAATTTTAAAAAATAATGTTGAAAAAACGAAAAATTGTGGATTCCTTGTTTTTAATTTTTCAATTTTTCGATCTTTCAATGTTGTAGTTTTCGACTTTCCAGTTTTAACAATTGTATAATTTTTCGATTTTACAATTTTCATATTTTCCAATTTTTCGATAATTTTTTTCTTATTTCCAATTTTTCCATTCATTAAACTTTTCGATTTTTAACTTCTCATTTTTTTTAACAATGTGAAACCTCGAGGGTCCCAACTGTTTTTTTTTTTAATGTAAAACCTTCTCAGGGGCTCCAAACGTCTTGGGGGTCCCAACTGTCTTTTTTAAAAATGTAAAACCTTCTCGGAGGCCCCAAATGTATTTTTTTAACAATGCCAAACCGTCTCGGGGGTTCCAACTATCTTATTTAGAATTGTAAAACCATCTCGGGGTCCCAACTGTCTTTTTTGAATATGTAAAACCTTCTGGGGGGCTCGAAATGTCTTTTTTAACAATTGCAAACCTTCTCGGGGGTCCCAACTGTCTTTTTTAAAAATGTGAAACCTCAGGGGCCCCAAATGTATTTTTTTAACAATCTCAAACCTTCTCGGGGGTCCCAACTGTCTTTTTTAAATATGTAAAACCTTCTCGGGGGCTCCGACTGTCTTTTTTTAACAATATGAAACCTGGAGGGTCCTAACTGCCCTTTTTAAAAATGTAAAACCTTCTCGGAGGCTCCAAATGTATTTTTTAACATTGTGAAACCTCTTCGGGGGGGTTTTCTATTACACTGTGACTAGCACCTTTGTTTTTGCTTCATAGAGCTTATCACGAAAAAGTAAAATTCCACAAAATCAAACTTTATAATTTTTCGGAGAAGCTGTATTTGTTGGACTGTACTTCAGAAGCAAGGGAAGTTCTCTAGAAATAACTTTCTACCATTTTTTTTTCTTTCAATTCCATATTATGAAAATTAAAACCTGTTGGCAATAATAATAACATGCATTAATTTATTGCAATAACTGGATTGATTGTGATCAATGACCTGAATAAAATAGCTTTATATTAATTTAGAAAATTACAACACTTTTTTTAGTCTTGTAATAATTATGACTACAAATTCTTCTGAATTCTGTTGAAATTCTGTCTGAATTTCAACATAGCATCCCTACAATATAATTCTTTTTTGGCAAGATGTAAAACTGTACCAGTTGCAACATCTAGTATGTTTCTGTTTCTGTCTTCGTTTGATACACTCTACGGGTTAAAGAGTGCTCGCATTTCTTAACATTTTAGAGACTAAGATAGATGCACGAACATCAGGCAGGTATTAGGCTTCTCCGCCTCCTCTTTGCGGCTTTCCATAACTCCATAAATACTTTTTTTCCTGGTTTAAAAGTTCCACAATTTAGTTTTAGATCAAGGTTTTTGGAGTTGTTTACCGCAGTTGCGGATTTTTTACACTTATAAATGGTATCATAAAAAATCTGACACTTTTCTTCGTAGTAACATGAATGTGTCCATTTAAAGTGGTCAAAAAATTTGTCAAAAATCAGACGCAAGCCTTAATAGGAAGCTCAGGTGATATCTTGGAATGACTTGTCCACCACACATACACATACAGGATAAAGCCAGAAAATCGGGTTGTACGGTGATTACCGGCCTTTGAAGTTGTTTGCGCGAATTTCCTCCACTCCAGCCCGCCCTACGTGCGAAAAGTATTATCCGCGATCCTTTGATTTACGGCAACTAGTTAAGTTGTAGTTAGTTGTGAAAAACGAGAACTCTCCATAAATTATGCAGTGCGTTTGTTGATCGCAAGAATCAGCTAACGAGCTCGCTTATTCGCTGTAAACAGTCTTCTTTGATAGCGGAAGAGCGAAAAAATAAACCCGCTCCGAGGCGGTTTCAGCTCTGTGGAAGTCGCTGAGTGCGCTACCAGAGTTGCATGATAATTAGACAGCCAATTACAGGCCGGATCGCGGTGTGAGCTTAAGCAAGAGTAATTAAAATCTCAATTAGAGTTCCCCTCTCGCTTGGTCGGACCAGATTTTACTGTAAAACATAGTTTTACGTATTTTCGCACGACCTTCCGAGCATTAAGCGTCCGGACTGTGGGCGACGCCACCGCCATTTGCATGTTTTCAAGGAGACCAGAAGCGAATCATTAAGCAATTGCAGCGAATGGAAAGCGACGGGGAAAGAACAATGAGGAGCTTCCGGAAAAAAACGGATCCGGAAATGGCAAACCGAAAATAAAATTCAAGACTAGAGTTGACAGTGAGTGTTGTGCCATAAAGCGGCGGGATGTGTTTTCAGATGATAGGGCATTAAAACGAGTGCTGGCGAAATGAAAAATCATTGCCCGGCGCTGAAGCCTCTCGGGAGCGATTGCCCAGTAGTCGCTGTAATTTAATCCTTTCATGGACTCGGCACTCTATGATCTATAAACCTACTAAAATTTATTGTTGTCATCAGCAAATTAGTTTAGGTCGTGAATTTTTTTCACCAAGTGGAGTACCACAGGGAGCCAATCCTAAGCCACTACTATTCATTATCTTCATCAATGATCTTGTAATTAAACCATAAAAGCAAATCTCTTAATTGTATTTAAGAATACCTATTATTATCAGTTCTAAATTCTGCAGATGGAGGTGTCACCCAGCTCCGACTCCTTAAGCTATAATGGCATGAAAAACAAAACGGGATGACTGCCAGAGCAGCCCCTATATTAAATTAAGCCGAGATATCAATCAGTACACACAGAATTCGAATCCAAGCACTTGGGATCTCATCATGACAAAGATAAAAAGCACGGAAAGATCGATTCCGTGCACTCGAAAGGAACGGCGTTTCCCTGAACAGTCCACCGGGATGTTGTGTCAGCTTTTTATGCTCCCAGACTCATGTTTCTTCCCGAGCTATCTCGTGAGAATTGTCATGCATGTATAGCATTTTCGGTGCAGAAATTCCCGTTTTAATTTGGAGATGTTCGAGACGACACGCCGAGATGCAAATAGGGGATGAAGCGAAAATTGTTGCAGCTGGCGCTTGCTTTTTGAATTGGAGTGGTGAGGGATTACACATTCCGTCACTAATTTGTGAGTGTGTCGGGTGAGATTTTGTCGTCTGGTGGATTATTTTCGTTATTATCCGGCAAATTTCAGCGCCCCGATCCATAAATCAGCCCTCGAAGCATCCTTATTCGCTCGGTATGAAATAAAAGCTCCTTTCCCGGTGTAAATCCGGTTTTGATGACGCCGTTGAAGGAACTCCGAACGTGCTTGGTGCGAAAGGAAATCTTGATATGTTTGTCAGGTTTTATCGGATCAAGTGGGTTGCTCGGGAAGCAGCAGGAAAGGGCGAAGGGCTTTGGAAGGGGGTCTGCCGGTGCGACCCTCCGTGTTGTCGTCGCCAGATAAGAACCCGTATATCGAACGTCAAAAGCTGGGTTCCACCCACTCGATCGACCATGATATCTTCATGTCCGGAATTAGCAGGAGGAGACGAACGTCTTCTCTTTAATCGTCTATTAAGGCGCATAATCCCGGATTCCCGCACGCCCACGGCGCATTCGTGTAATTAATTCTTTTTGGGAGACGGGATGACAGGTGAGAGAGACGGGGCGAAGCGTCGTAGTTCGGTTGTTTGTGGATAAACGAGCCACATTTTCATCACAGATAATACTGAGGGTAAACACGGGCCCGTTAGTTTTGTTAGTTCAGCAACTCAAATAATTTACCCAATAGAACTGCAGCCGGTAGTTTGTTCAGGGTTGCTAGCTGGAAAAGCGAGGAAGGGGACGGCAGAATGTGTACCGACCACGGAGTGTCAATATTTGGTCATATAGAATGACGGCTGTTATTAGGACGCGAGCGATGTGACTCGGACCCGACTTGATACGGCGTATATCATTTCCGTTCACGAAACCGCCGACTTGGCGTCCAAAAAACTCACGCAACCAACAATACACCCCAGCCAAACTTTCCCACCATTAGCAATCTCGCAGCATGACTTTTAATGCCAGTTCCAGCATAATCATCGCTCGAAGCTGTATAATTGGAACGGACTGTTGATTAATGGCTCCCTGAAAAATTAACGACGTCTATAAAAGTGACGTCTGCATCTGCAACGTCGGTCGAAACCAGTTTCGTAATTTATTTGCGGCTAATCAATTCAATTAATGTTGAAATAGCGCATTTCCGATACGCATCATGTATTCCGTAGTTGCAGCGGAGGCGGTTAAGGGGACCAGGATGGCATGTGGTTCTGATGGCCAACCGCGACAACAATGACGTCACAGTGTGGTTGGCCGCTCGATGCGGCTTGTGGTCATATTAACATTAACATATGTACTTCCCCCAAACAGTTTGACATAATCTAGCCGGAGCGGATCGAGGTGATGGATAATGGCGGATTCCGCGGTTTTTGAACCGGCGGAGTGGGGTCACCTCGACGCCTTTTTTAATTAGAGTACTAGAATTTTTAATTTTAGAAACGAAATGATACTGATTTTTTTACCGATATTTTCGCTAAAACTGTCGCAGACACCCCCTTGACTGGGATTATAAAACGTGATGGTCTGCTGCGGCTTAAAAATGGAAGTTCGTTTTGACAATGGAAGTGAACATTTGTTGATCCGCGCAAAACATTTGCATCGAAATAAATGTTTCATGGCATCACGAGGCTAATTGTCAATTATATCAGCACAGCAGCATATTGTAAACGCGGAATCAGACTTGCACTGGACTGGAAAAACAAACAGAGAACACAATGTTTGTACAAAGCTAAGTAAACACTCGTCAGCGAAAGCTCGGAGTCGGGGAAAAAGTATAAAAAGTTACAATAGCGGCTCGTATTTATTTTTCAAGGATCGAGGCTCAAAGTCCAGAGGCATCATCGACTTTGAATGATATAAATGTGTTGACATTCCCCGTATTAATCCTTTAATTCACCCTTTTTCCGGAGCGAATCCAATTTAGAGTGTTTTCTTTTTTCCAGACTGAAATCGCGAAGAGACTGAACGCCATCATTGCACAAATACTCCCTTTCTTGTCACAAGAGCATCAGCAGCAAGTCGCGACGGCTGTTGAAAGAGCTAAACAAGTTACCATGACAGAACTCAATGCCATAATCGGAGTAAGTATTTGTTGGATTGTGCGCTTTGTTCTTCTGAAAGCAGGCCAATAAGTTTTTCGGGTAAAAGGGACAGTATTTGTTCAACAAATTGCCAGTGTTTATAAGAAGAACAAACGTACAATAAAAAGGAATAGTAAATAGAAAATACATTTTAAGCAAAGCTGCTATGTTTGTTTGTACTTTAAGTTTACTGCTTGTGTGTTTACTTAAACATAAACCTAACCTATATTTCAAGGAACTGGTAAGCAAACACGAATTACCAAGTGTGGGTTTTTTCGAACTACTTGACTTCGTGGTGGATTAATACAACGGCAGCTAATTAACAGTTTTGGGCGATTTTCTGGTAGCGACGTTCTTGCTCACAACTTATATTTTAACACAGTTGTTCCTACTGGGGGTGAACATTTCAAAGCTAAACCGCTAATTGTCTTAATTCGTTATACTCATTGTGGGTTTCTCGACGGCGGAGGAGTCAGTAAACATTGTTTAGATTGCATGTAGGCGCTAAAATGGATGTTTAGCACATCGCTCATTATACGGGCGAATATTTGCCAAACAATCTATAGTTTTACAACTACTTTAATCTGGCTGAAATGCCAGCTCGACTCCTGAAAAACGGCCCAATGTCAATATTTGCTTGACACTGGGACCTCACATCATCGCTAAGGTATTCCCAAGGAAAACCCACGTCAGAATCTTAATTATTGAAACTTCTACAGAACAATTTTTAAACAATTTGGTACATCTGGAAGCATAGAAGAAATATAAATTTGTATCAAGGAAAACTAAATTATTTTGGAATATATTTATTTATTTCTATCTATCTTAAAGGAGGGGTTGATGTCTGATAATCGGCGTGGTGTCAATATTTGTTTGACAGTGGGATTTTTCAATATCGCTAATGTTTGTAGAGGCAAACAATCAATGTGAAGGTCGAAATATTCACAGATTTTCGGTTAAAATTTTTTAAGTGTAGCTCATAGTCTCAGGGAAAAATTACAACGGCCCCTTTAGATGTAATTATGGTATTGGCTTAGGGACAAGTTTAATAAATACAGCTCGCTCCGCTCGCCCAAACAATGTCAACGTTTTTACTTCTGATAGAAATAGAGCTTTGTTTTTTGCACAATTTCAGAGAAATATAGTTGAAAAATGACATTTTTCATAAAGGTTTTTGAACACAGACAAGATGAAGGCGCGCAAAAATTGGGGAGGATTTACAATTTTGAATACAACCAAAAAATGTTTAACTTTGATTTGTCAATGTTGTCTGTGATACATGAATCTTACTTTTTCTTTTTTTATTTTTATATATTAAAATTTCATAGTAAACCAAATTATTTCTTTGATATTGAATATTGATGATTTTAAAAATGCATTTTTTGGAACTTTATTACGTCATATTTCAAAAATTATTAAAAATTTTGTCTTACTCATGCATGACACGTTAAACACCAACTGTACGGTACATTATTAAGTTCACAAGTCCAAGTTCGAAAAAAAATTCTTACGTCAATTTGACGTGAATTTACAAATGAAAATATAATTTTAGATAGATAGATAAAAAACGTGAAAAATTAGTCACTGTTGTCACATTCATCCGAAACATTTTTTAAGTTTCTTGCTATACAATAAAGTGAACAAAAAATCAAAAAACACAAGATTACAATTGGGCGGGGCTTAAATTTTGCCTTTTTTCTGCATATACGTAATCTTCTATTTAAAACGTGTTTAAGATGGGAAATTTTTGTCGGGAAACATAAATTTTACAATTAAGCTCTGCCCCTCGGTCGGACGACAAATGAACAATTCATCACAATTGAGATTAGGGCGGGTGGGTGGGGCCTATTTTTAACTTTTTTTTCATGAGATAAGTACATAGTTTTCTTTCAACAACATAATTCTTAAAAACATGTTTCACATGGTAGTTTCTTACAGAGAAATAAGATTTTGCAATTAAGCCCCACCCCCCGATTCACGACGAATAAAAAAAGTCGTCACAATTGAGATGAGGGCGGGTGGGCGGGGTTTGTATTTCGCCTTTTTTTCTTAATATAAGTAGTTTTCTATTCACGACGAAAACCTGAAAACATGTTTAAAATGGTAAATTTGTAGAGTAGTATGGGGGATAAAATTTACCATGTTAAACATGTTTTCAGTCTCATGTTGTGAAGAGGATCTATATATTAAGAAAAAACAAAGGCAAATGATAAGCCCCATCCACCCACCAATTGAGATGGGGTGGGTGGGCGGGGGTTATTATTTTGCCCCGTTTTTCTTAACATATATAGTATTCTTTGGCCAACACGATACTCAAGATAACGTTTTTAATTTCTTGTAAAGAAATAAGTATTTTCCAGTTAAGCTCCGCCCCCTTAGTTTATGGTGAATATAAAAGATCATCACAAATGAGACAGGGCGGGTGGGCGGGCTGACGTTTTGTCTTAAAACATGTTTAAAATGGAAAATTTGCACAAGGAAATATCGATTTTGGCATTAGGCTTCGCCCCATAATTGCAAAATCCATATTTCCTTGCAAAAATGTATCATTTTAGCCATGTTTTAAGTTTCTTGTTACGAAAAAATGGCTTTATATATTTAAAAAAAAAAGGCAAAATATAAGCCCCGCCCACCCGCCCTATCTCAATTCGGATGATTTTTTTTATTCGTCGTAAGCCGAAGGGCGGAGCTTAATAGCAAAATCCTTATTTTTCTACGAGAAATTATCATGTGAAACATGTTCTTAAGTTATCGTGTTGTTTAAAGAAAACTAAAAAAAGCGCCAAAAGATAAGCCCCACCCACGTCCCGATCTCAGTCATGATGAATTTTTCATTCGTTGTCGGTCCGAAAGGCAAAATTCATATTTCCGTACAAAAATGTAATGTCATTTTAAACATGTTGTACGTTTCTCGTTTGACAAAAAGACTGCGCATATTAAGAAAAAAAAAGGCAAAATCTAAGCCCCGCCCACCCGCCCTATCGCAATTGTGACGATATTTTTTATTAGTCGTGAACCAAGGGGGCGGGGCTTAATTGCAAAATCCGTATTTCTTTACAAGAAATTACCACGTAAAACATGTTTTGTTCTTGTTGACATAATAGGGGAGGGGGGATTACACAGCCTCCTTTTTCTCAAAATGGTCTATTTTGAACAATATGGGCGGGATTTTTTTTTTCTTTTCTTAATATATATAAGTACTTTTCTATTCACGATAAGAAACCGAACTCATTTGTAAAGTAGTAAATTTGTAGAGATGTGTGGGGGATAAAATTTACCATTTTAAACATATTTTCAGTCCCTTGTTGTGAAGAATGTGCAACATTATGCATATTAAGAAAAAACAAAGGCAAATCATAAGCCCCACCCACCCACCCTGCTTCAGTTGTGACGATTTTTCTTTGCGCAAGGGGGGGGCGGAGCTTAACAGCAAAATCCTTATTTTTCTACGAGAAATTACCATGTGAAACATATTCTTCAGTAATCGTGTTGTTCAAAGAAAGCTAAATGTACTAAGTAAAAAAGAAAGCTCCACCCATGTTTCGTTCTCAATCATGATGAATTTTTTATTCGTTGTCTGTCCGAAAGGCGGAGCGTAACTTCAAACTTCATATTTCTCTACAAAAGTGTATCATTTTAAACATGTTTTAATCTTCTCGTTGTGACAAGAAGACTACGTATGGTTAGAAAAAAATGGAAAATGAAAGCCCCGGCCACCCGCCCTGTCTCAGTTGTGATGATTTTTTATTGGTCGTGAACCAAGGGGGCGGAGCTTAATTGCAAAAAACTTATTTCTCTACATTGAAACATGTTTTCTTGTTGTTGACATAATAGGTGAGGGAGAGATTACACAGTCTCGTTTTTCTCAAAATGGTTTGTTTTCAAAAATTTGATAATACTTAAAACATATTAATGGTATTTGTGACTTGTGTTAAACATGTTTTATGTCCTATACACCAATAAAGTTAATTCAATTCAATTCAATTCAATTCAATTCAAACATATTTTGGTAAAAAAATCATCACAATTGAAATCAGGGTGGGTGGGCGGGGTTTTCTTCTTTATTTTCTTTTCTTAGTATATAAGTGGTTTTCAATTCACGACAAAAAACTGAAAACATATTTAAAATGGTAAATTTGTAGAGAAGTATGGGGGATAGAATTTACCATTTTAATCATTTTTTAAGTTTTTCGTTGTAACAAGAAGACTACGTATATTAAGAAAAAAAGGCAAAATGTAAGCCCCGCCCACCCGCCCTATCTCAAATGTGATGATTTTTTTATTCGTCGTGAATCCAATGGTCTGTTTTCAAAAATGTGATAATACTTAAAACATATTTTGATGAAAAATTCATCACAATTGAGATCAGGGTGGGTGGGCGGGGTTTCATCTTTATTTTCTTTTTTTAATATATATATATATATATAAGTGGTTTTCAGTTCACGACAAGAAACTGAAAACATGTTTAAAATGGTAAATTTTTAGAGAAGTGTGGGGGATAAAATTTACCATTCTAAACATATTTTAAGTTTTTCGTTGTGACAAGAAGACTACGTATATTAAGAAAAAAGGACAAAATGTAAGCCCCGCCCGCCCGCCCTGTCTCAATTGTGATAATTTTTTTTATTCGTCGTGAATCAATGGGGCGGAGCTTAATTGAAAAATCCTTATTTTTCTACAAGAAATTACCATGTTGTTGTTGACATAGTAGGGGGAGGGGGGATGACAGAGTCTCCTTTTTCTCAAAATGGTCTATTTTCAACAGTATGATAATACTTAACATGTTTTGGTGAAAAATTCGTCACAACTGAAATCAGGGCGGGTGGGCGGGGTTTAATCTTTTTTTTTTCTTTCTATACTTAAAAACATGTTTCAGATGGTAATTTCTTGTAGATTTTTGATCACAACTCAAAGCGAAACGAACGGATGGTAAAACACTGACAAAAATTTGTCCTCATCCCCAGCATTCATGGGATGACATCATCTCCAGAATATAAAGT